TTCATCAGTAATTAAAAGTAGCCAATGATGCTATTTGGTGCCTAAGCAAAAATTCTTGATTAGTCTTGTGCATGTGATGATCATCATAATTCTCATTGCCTTAATTTGACTGTCTGAATGAAAATGGAGGAAAATTGGAAAAAGACTTAAGTATAAAGCATAGTTAGAGAGGTATCTGAAGAGGAAGCTCTAGATTTATAGATTCTTAAACAAACTCTTCGCGTCATGTGAACATCGGACGAACTGCTTTTTGGTCAATTTGAACTGATGTCTCACGTATGAGTACCAGGTTGTTGTAATTTTCATGAGTTCTTGTAATGGTCGCTTGAGGTCAAGCAAGTTTGGGGGAGTTTGATTAATGGTTTTTCTACCTTTATTTACAATTGATTTTAGGTATATTTTCTTTATTTTGTCAAGTGTTTTAGTCCTTTCTTCTATGTTTTATGCATTGGTTATGCATTTTGTTATTTTCAGGCTCAGAGGAATAAAACCAGAAAAATCAGTGCAAAAGTGCAGAATTCAGAGTTTCAGAGGAAGTCTCATTAACCAAGCTACAAGGTACCTGACACGGTCAACCGTGTCGCCTGACACATGCCATGTCAGAAGAGTATGCTCAACAGACGGTCTAAGAGGCAGAGGCAGAGGACGACATGGGTGCCCGTGTCAGCTGACACAGCCCGTGTCAGCTGACACGGCCCGTGTCAGAAGGTCTAAGCGAGAGGATTTATTGGTACGATGGATAGAGAATGACACGGGTTCCCGTGTCAAGTGACACGACCCGTATCCGCCAGGACGCTGATTTTGAGTGTTTTTATGATTTTTCATAGGGATGGCAACAGGGCGGGTTGGGGGAGAGTTCAAGTACACCCAGATCCACACCCACCACCTAGACCCAGACCCTCCCCCGCCCCCAAACTCGATCGGAGCTAATATTTGTTCTCTCGCCTCCGCCCCTGTCCCAATAAGAAACGAGTTTCCCCACACCCGCCCTACACCCGCCTGAATAAAATTTTAATTTTTTAAAAATTTATACCTTTTTCAATAAAAATAAAAATTAATAATTAAACTAAATAATTAATTATTTTAAAAGTATTTTTTATGTTTGATATTTTTATTTAAATTATATTTTCGAAAAAAATAAATAATAATTCTAATAAACGTGATTATAATATTAAAAAATTTAAATGAGTAATAAAACTATTAAAAATAAATGAAATAAATTATGTTTAGTTAGCGGGTGCGGGTGCAGGGAGGGTACTAGCATCACCCGCCCCCGCATCCGCACCCATAAATAAAAATCGGGCTTTCCCCACATCCGCACCCGCTCCCGGTTAAACCGGATTTTTCCCGCTAATTTCGAGGCGAGGGCGGTTGGGACTCTGTGGGGACGAGTTTGTTTGCCATGTCTAATTTTTCCTGATTTGGGACCCAGATGGGCGTTTTGGATATTTCCGATCGAGACGAATAGACTGATCACTATTTAACCACGTTTGAAAGAGGAATGAGGGGACTTTTTTGGCAGCAAATAATATTTTACACGACTGAAGATTGGAGAAGTCAAAGTTTTCAGAGAGCGGGAGATTTTCATGCGCGGAAGATCAAAGTTCACCCCAATCCTTGTAATGTCTATATTTTGTCTTGTGGTTATTTTGAACAATATGAGTAGCTAAACTCTCAATGCTAGGGGTGTCCCTGATTTGACTCTGTAAATGATTTTGATTCCTAAATTTCTTTTATACAATAGTCTTCTCTATTTGATTTAATTGTACAATATTTGTATGCCTTCACAAATTAGGATTGATTTACGGATCAGCTGGACCGCGGTTGTTAAGGTTTTTGTATAATTAGACTATAGTAGATATCACCTAGGACTAGGGATATCCTATAGTTACGGGATTTAAACTTTGATAAAATAAAGGCTTGATTCTATCAGATATCTCTGAGGACTTAGGATTTAGTATGAATGGTTAAAGGTTTTTCCATTAAGAACTTAGGGGAAGATAATTAAAAGGGCTGATAATCGAAGGATATGAACTTGTTGAAGAGGTATTCAAGATAGTTACATGGAAAATTATACACCATACCATAGCATACTCCTCATATTTATGAAAAAACCCTAATTTACATTTTGCTTATTTTTATTTCAATTTTTGTTTAATTGAACGTGATTTAAACTCGATAATTGCATGCAGTCTTTGAGATTGATATTCGGAAAATTTTCTATTATTACTACAAGACAAAATTAGTACACTTGCTATTTTTCCCATCACTCCCAAAAGAAAAGAGAAAGTATAGCTGTCTGAAACACATGATGCATCATATTTTAGTTTCTCCTCAGGACAATTTGCTTTTAACTTGTGATACCTTAATATGGTAGATGAAATGGCCTGGTAGGGGTGTTCGTGGTCCGGTTTGGATCGGTTTTGAGACAAAATATCATCCGATCCAAAAATATATAAAGCATACGGTTTGGTTCGGTTTTTGGATGACAACAAGAAAAATCCAATCCAATCCAATCCAATTTATACGGTTTACTTCGGTTCGGTTGAATCGGTTTTATTCGGTTTTTAAACCAACACTATTTAGAAATTTAAAAAGAATATATTTCAATACCAGTTACAATTATGTCACCAACGTCTACTGAGACAATATCTAATTGCTATGTTCATATGGCTATTTGATGTCATTATTGCAAAATTTCATTATAATATATGTATAATATCTATCCCAACGAAATAGACATGACTATAATATATAATATATATGGAGATATGCTTAGTTCTTATATGGAGATTTGTATTATAAATTAAATATATGACAAATATATAAAACAGTGAACAAATGAAGATTCCAAAGCTATATTAAAGCGAATATAATAATAAAACTTCAAGAAAAATATCAATAACAGTGGACATGCGAAAGTTGCATCACAAGGAATATATAATAATAATATGACAAACTGCATTATATATAGAGAGAAGATCTGCTTTATATATGACAGCATAATTGATAGTTTCAAAATCAGAGCCTGCAACATAATTGATAGTCAAATAACAAATTTTCTAATTATCCTGCAATAGCTCCACTCCAGCTTCACAATTCTACCCAATTCTTTTAGAATGCGGATATCAACAGCTAATCAGAGTCTATATCAGATACACCTTCATTCAATTGAGGAATTGGAGCAAGTTCTACAAAAATAAAGATAAATATTACTCAATATAAAAGATTAACAATGCTCAACAAAAAATAATATAAGTTATAAGTAAATTACCTAATTCCAAATTTTCTAACTCATCCACAAGCTCTTCAATATCCACCGACACCGGGGAAGATTTACACCAATTTTGTGTACAAATTAAAGCTTCAACTGTTTTTGGCGTAAGAGAGCTTCTATAACAAGTAAGCACTCTTCCTCCGGTAGAGAAAGCGGACTCTGAAGCTACAGTAGACACAGGCATGGCCAATATATCTCTAGCCATTTGACCAAGAATAGGATACTTGTTAGAATTCACCTTCCACCAGTTCAAGATATCAAAACCAAGACCTTTCTTCTCCAAATTCTCCATGAGATACAAATCCAATTCATTTTTCTGCATGCTCTCATTAAGATTCATGTCCATCTCAACCTCTAAAGCAAATGCATCCTCTGGTGCTTTAAGTTCTACAAATTCCACTTCTTGGGTGGAATGTGTAAGATTTTCAGTTTGACCGTTACCAAGGAAAAGCCTATAACTCTTAAATATTTTATTTAATGTCTCCTCTATTTTTTTGTACAAAGATACAGCAACATCATTTGTATATGTCCTGTTCAATCCCCACCTAACAAACTGCATCTTATGTCGAGGATCAAGCACAACAGCAACAAAGATCAACATATTCATTTTTTCAACCTTACCCCAATATTTATCATACTTAACTTTCATATTTTCAGCCATAATTCCAAGCAAGTTGTCAGAACTTTTTAATTCTATCCACCCGTTTAATGTAGTCAATATCTTAATATGTTCATTAAAATATTGAGAAGAGGTCACAAAAGTACTACCTGAAACCTTCTTTGTGATATCAAAAAATATTTTCAAAAAATTAACAAAGCATTTTGCATTATCTCAATCCTCTTTATTAGGAATACCATCTTTCATCAGCACAAAATCAGCACACTTCTCACTCAATCTCTTAAATGCCTTTTGAAACTTCAATGCACTTTCAAGCATAATATATGTGGAATTCCACCTAGTGGAAACATCCAACTGAACAATTGATTTTTCTTGTAACCTAACTTCTTTAATGCAAGTTTTAAACCTATCCATACGACCTGGAGATGCACGAACATATCTAACAACATTCCTAATCTTACTAATTGAAGAATGATAGTCTTCTAGTCCATCTTAGACCACAAGATTCAGAATATGTGCACAACAGCGAACATGCATATGTTCACCTTTCAATGGATGAGAATTCCAATCGTTCATTGTATTTTTCAAGTAAGTTATAGCAACATCGTTAGAACTAGCATTATCAACCGTAATGGTGAAAACATTACCTATTAGCCATTCCTCCAAACATTTTTCAATTTTTTTGCCGATGGTTACTCCTTTGTGATTCACAATTGGACAAAAATTCAGAATCCTTTTATGGATTTTCCAATCATGATCAATGAAATGTGCAGTGAGACAAAGATAACTCAAATTTTGCACAGATGTCCAATAATCAGTTGTAAGACAAACACATTGATTTGATTTATTTAGCACACTTTTTAACTTATGTTTCTCACTCGTGTATAAATCCCAACAATCTCTAGCAATTGTAATCCTTTTAGGAATTGAGAGTTTAGGTTGCACAACACTCATAAAATGAAGAAACCCCTCTCCCTCAACAAACTTAAAAGGCAACTCATCAACAATAATCATCTTAGCTAAAGCTTTCCTACATGCCTCAGCATCAAAATGTACACCAGTGAGAACACTACCAGATCCATTCCCATCTTCTTTTTTCAATTGTTAAAGAACAAGTGTCTTTTGAGTGGGATCAAGAGACTCTTTTGGAAACTTCTTACACTGATGCAATAAATGGTGTTTCAAATTACTAGTGCCATTTCTTTGTGAATCAGCAGCATATGTTACATCACACCAATTACACTTAGCTCTTGATCCTATTTTTGTAAAATGTTCCCAAGTCCAAGATCTAGGTTTAATAGGTTTTCTGTTACCTGAATCTCCAGCTACAACATTAGGATCATTGGATGTGACCAATTTTGAAGCTTCTCCAATCTTTCTTTTCTTATTAGCATTTTCTTCATCATTGTTTGTTTCATTACTTTGTACCAATGGAGGTGGAGCTTCAGTTGTTTCACCCTATAAAATACACATGAAAAAATAAATTTTTGAACATCAACTATAATATTACACCATTGTAACAGTAACCAACATTTCTAAAGGTAAAAATCTCTACTTAAAATTAATTTTTGATACCTGAATAAGGTTGTTAACAATATCAGATTGAGTAATAGGACCAGTTTGGCTCATTCCTGTAAAAATAGATCAAACTTAAAATTAGAACAAAGTATAAACAACTAGTTGTAGAAAAAGCTAATAAAAATATATTATGAAAAAATTATGAAACAAAATATGAAAAACTAACAAAGGACAGACTTTGAAGAAATTATGAAAAACTAATTAAAATTTGTTACTGTTATAACCAAGTAACCAACATGAAACGATTTCACATAAGAAAACTAATGAAAATAATTTTTAGTAAGCTACTGTTATAAAATTGAGAACATAAGTAAATTAATTTTAAATAAGCTTTCAACAACACAAATTAGAACAGCTTTACAAAAGGCTAAAAATTTGAATAGCTTTAGAAAATCTGATCGAACAAAACTACAAAGTACAAAAAAGATAAAATCAAACAAATTAAGAAGCTTGCTTACTGATAGTATAATTCAGAAAACTAATTGAGATGAATGTCTATTTAGCATTATTGAATTTCTTGCTTGCGATATTGAATTTCTTACGGTTACAACAATGAATAGCATTCATTGTATTTAATTTTAAGATAATTTAGAATCTGAATAGGGAAATTATATGAATGATTGAGATTCTCTAGAGAAATTAGTGCTGGCTAACATAATTAATTTGGGAGGATGACTATAAATGATTCGATATTAATTTATTTTAAATAATAAATGGCAAGTAAATGGAAGTAATACCGGTTCGGTTTGGACCGGTTCGGTTCTCATGAAGCCAACCGTAAATCGAACCGAACCGGTCGGTTATGCTACATGGTGATCCAAATACATCCAAAAAAAATCGGTTTTTTTTTTATTTCGGTTTTTTTGATTCAGTTTTTGGATTTTTTTTTGGATCGGATTGAATCTGAACACCCCTATGGCCTGGTAGATGAAATACAACCAGGTTTTCAGACAGATAAAATATTTAAAGGCAAGGACATTATACACTGATAAAGAACTGACTTCTTATAAGGATAGTCAGTTGTGGATAGCAACATTTTTTGTTTAAATTCCGCTATGCTAAAGCAACTATTGACATCATCGACTCGTATAAAAGTGATATTCTCATTAAGATTGGTTTTTATGCTTAATTTAAGGTGTCAAACTGCCACTATTCACTGAACAACAGTATGTGATTTAACAGATGATCATTTTTCACATGACCCTATAGAAATACATTTGTTGCAAAACGAAAAACCATTCCTTTGCAGCAAGGAGGAATATATCATTTGTTTATGCGAATAAGAGAAAAGACATTAAATTAGTAAGCAAGACATGGAACAAAAAAGTCCACAAAAAAATTAGATTGTTGAAAGTTATCAATGTCCGTTACAAATGAGTTTTACCATTAGCATGTTTCACGAATTTAAGGAAGGAGTATAGTCCTGATTTTCTTCCTTCTCCTGTAACAAGCTTGAGAAAATAGATTACTACAAAAATTACTTTTTCATCCTATATTGAATTTAAACTTATGACACATGTTTATTTCTTAGGGCATATATCATTTAACACTTCAGTGTTTTTGTGTTAATGATTTCTCCCTTGACATTTATTTATAGGTGATTAACTTTCTTTATCTTTAAAAATTATATCAATATATTTATATGTTACTTAAAATATTATTTTTTAAATATTTTGTGTAAAATTAGAAAAATTATAATATATTAATTATAACTTTTTACGCTTTAATATTTTTAATTGTTTATATCCTCTAAATAATAATGTATATTATAGTCTTCTCGTGTAAATTTGAATACAATAATTATAATTTTTTCACACTTTAATATATGAGAATAAATGATATATATTAATATTAAAAAAATAAATTTTGTACACTTTTAACGAATCACAACCTATTTTTAAATAAATTATGTGATTTATTTAAATGATAAATTTTTGTTAAATGTTAGTATAAAATTATTTTACATAATTAATATATTATCTTTTAATTCTTAATGTATTTACGTTGTTTTTGAGAAATGAGTAATTGAGGAATTTTAATAGAGCGTAAAATTAATATGTAAATAATCCCTTGTCACTTATTAATAAGTTAAATTTAAATTTTTATATCTTTTAAATAAAAATAAGAATAATTATATTATACTAATTATATTATTATTTTAAAACTGATAATAAATTTTTATTTTAAAGATATTAATAAAGTCTTATTTTAGTTTTAATACATCACAATTGACGGAATAAATTTAGTTATACGTATTATTGAACTAATAGACAAATAATAATACATCTATTTTTTAGTGGCAAAATAATTATATATAAGAGGGGGAAAAAAGAGAAAAAATTAAAACTAGCATAAGAAGTGCTAAAAAAACCAAAAGAGAAATAAACGAATTTTTTTTATTAATAACCATATATTAAAAAAATATTTCGCAAATAATCGGGTTTCGGAAAAAATTACGCAAATAACCATGTTTCAGATGGCTCCACAAAGGAGGAGTCATCTCAATTGGCGCATGCACCTAGGGTTTTACCCTAGGCGCCATCTCACTTGGCGCCTCCCTTGTCTTTTAGTCAAGTGAGATGGCGCATGCTCCTTAAAAATGAGAGGAGGCGCCATCTCACTTGGCGCCTAGGGCAAAACTAGGGCAAAATGCTGTTTTATAAATAATTCGTCCGTTTCTTTGAAATTTCTCACACTTTCTCGCACTGTATTTTTATTTTGTACTCCGTTATTTGCGTAATGACGTCGCCTATGATTTTTAGCAGAGATGGTTACGTTATATTCTCCGCCACGAAACCTGCGATGAAAATGAAATTCTGGCACATTCACTCCATGAAGCGTCTGAAGCGGGAGTTGATGCGGTGGCTAGATGGAGACATCGCGGAGGGGGGAAAAATTCGAAGGATCCAGCGAAAACGAACAACAATCTCGCATGCGACAGGAAGACCTAATGTGTGGTTGGAGGAAGTCAAAACAGACAGTGATGTAATGCTGATGATGCATGGGTCAGAAGAAATTGTGTTAACAGTTGTAATTTCCTAGATTGAATATCGTTAATCATTGTTGTACGCGAAAACCCTAATGTAATTTCCTATATTGAATTTCTTAAATTGTGTTAACAGTTTTATTAACGGAAAACCCTAATGTTTACAACACAAATATTGAAAAGATTTATTGTATTACAATATTTATGTGGTCGAGCCAGACGCCCGATTCGGACAGTTTTTGCGATTGTGTCCGACCTGACGGCATAAACCACACTTTCTTTCCAATCTGTCAAGATCGTCCATTTCTGTTGTGATGCGCCTGCTTTTGGGACGACCCTTCTTGTTCCTTCGTATTTGGTCATTGTGCCAAACTATATCGCCGTTGTATTCAGGCCAATAGTCCGGTTTTGCCACCAAAGGAAAGTTGTTGTTGTAAACAGTGAGCAACGTTTCAGATTTATAAACGTTTGAGAGCAGTTGAAGCGCGTCTTGATGGGTATGAGCACAAGCGGCAATGACATGAGAGCAAGGCATACGAAATGCTTGAAACCTGCCACAATCGCACCATTGAGAAGGTAAAATGACTCTGTATTCTTGTCTTGCCAGGCCTTCATTGTGGTCGATTGTCTCTTTCACAATGAAGTTGTGGCTGTGTCGGTCAAACCGTGTAACCATGTGAGTGTTGGCTTTAGCACTTTCAGCCTTAATGTATTTCATACAGCTTTCACTCCATAGTTGTCCTGATTGCAAGACCGCATACCACATTTCACCTCTTTTGGCAAATAACGCAGCCATCCTAAAATACGTGGATTTTACCAAGGCAGTGATTGGGAGGTTTCGTATGCCCTTGAATACCCCATTCATTGATTCAATAAGATTTGTTGTCATATGCCCCCATCTTTGGCCATTGTCGTATGACCTAGTCCACTTTTTGACCGGTATATTATCGATCCACATATCGGCTTCTGGATTAGACAAACGGATCTCGTTGCGGTAATATTTGAATGTGGGTTGTGTCAATGCGTATCCCGCATTCATCACCGCTTTCCTCAATGTTTTATCCTTGACCTCCCTCGAGAAATTCTGGACGATATGCCTGACGCAATAGACATGCGTAGAAGGAGGGTCATGCCAACCATTTGCTGGATTATTATAGGCACTTTCAATTGAGGCATGTCTGTCCGAGATCAAACAGAGATCTGGTTGAGGAGCCACGTGTGTACGAAGATTTTTCAGGAAAAAGCTCCAAGCACCACCGGTCTCCCCCTCGACAAGGGAAAACGCAACGGGGAAAATGTTATTGTTGCCATCTTGTGCAACTGCCATCAATAGCGTGCCTTTGTACTTCCCATACAACCAAGTCCCGTCAATTTGTAGAATTGGTTTGCATGATGCAAACCCTGTGATGCATGGTTGAAATGCCCAAAACACGCGACTGAATATTCTGTTGCCATGCAGTAGACTACCATCTTGGGCGTACGCTGGCAATGTTTCCAGAACATAAACACTACCTGGAGAATATGTCTTGAGTGCATTTAGGTAGCGGGGAAGTTCTCGGTATAACTCCTCCCAATTTCCGTACACCCTTTCAATCGCCTTAGTCTTTGCTAACCACGCCTTACAGTAAGACGGAGTGTAGTTAAAAACCGTGGTGATGTGGGAGATGATTGTTGTCACCTTCAAAGAAGGGTTGTTGCTGACCAGGGGTAGGATTTCTTGACAGATTAGATCATGGTTGAGTTTTCGGTGGTCTTGTGATTGAGTGGAACTTACACAAGTATGGGTAGTCATGGAACCTATGACCCAGCAGTCACCCCTTAATCTGTATGATGCGGTCAGCTTGAACATACAGTCAGGGTGGACACACTTGATCTTGTACCTTTCCGGGTTTACACGATCCACCTTATAATCAACCGAGTTGAGCATGTGAAATTTTTTGATGGCCCTGATGCATTCCTCTCTGTTACAAAACTTGTCCTTCTCTTTTAAATTTTCATCCGACTGCATATACGGTTGGAAAAACAAGTCAGTAGAAGGTTCATCTCCGCCCATGTTGAAGTTTGT